GTAGGGAAAAATTAGGATTGAGAGTTGTGCAGCCGTAATTGTTGACTTTTGGTGAATAGTGTTAACTTTTTAACTTTTTGAGTAACTTTTTGGCTTTTTGACTTTTTTGCAATATGCCAAACTTGGCGTTAGTGTCTCTGCAACAATGTTGGTCATAGAATGCTTTTATGACAAAATACAAATGACTAATATTCCCTTCATCATTGAGTAATAATCTGCATGTACACAAATCATAACCAATAATCGGTTAATTCATTGATCAATGCTGCTGTTAATACAAGGAAACATGTTCTGACCTTGATGAAGAAGCACTTGGAAGTTGGAAAGATTGAACGATGAACTTGTTCTTCCTTTCATACTATCTTTTTACAAAAAAAAAAAGCAAAAAAGAAAGAAAAAAAAAGAACTTTTGGTCACCACAAGCTACAATTTTGCAAAAGAAGTCTACATACTTTTAATTGTGATCGATATTATTGATTTTTGGCTGTTTAAAACAGGTAACAGGTATAAGAGATGTAGTTCCTCCACCATTAAAGAGAGAATTTTCTGATGTCTACATTGCCACGGAACTCATGGACACTGATCTTCACCAAATAATTCGATCTAAACAAAGTTTATCAGAGGAACACTGTCAGGTAATACATAACACTCTTGACTTCTTGGATACTTTAACAATTCAACATTCTTAAATTTTATTAGTTTGATTATTATTATTATTTTCTATTAAGGAAATAAAGAAAGCTGACATTTTGTAATTGATCTCCTTGCAGTACTTCTTGTATCAGATCCTTCGAGGACTGAAATATATACATTCTGCAAATGTTATTCATAGAGATTTGAAACCCAGCAACCTCTTGGTGAACGCAAATTGTGATCTGAAGATCTGTGATTTTGGTCTTGCTCGGCCAACTTCAGAGACTCAGTTCATGACCGAATATGTTGTCACCAGATGGTACAGGGCACCTGAGCTTTTGTTAAACTCTTCAGACTACACTGCTGCTATTGATGTGTGGTCTGTGGGTTGCATCTTTATGGAGCTTATGAACAGAAAGCCTTTACTTGCGGGTAAAGACCATGTGCATCAGCTGCGCTTATTGATAGAGGTAAGATGAAATTTAGATCTAGCTAATTATGTTCTTAACCGTTTTTTCAAACATGGAACATGATTAAATGCAGGATTTAATTTTAGAGAGCAAATATATTGTTGATTAGGCTTAAATGTTTCCATTATCTGTGTTCCCTATGGGACGCCCCAACAAGATTACGTTGCATTCTCCCAATAAAGATACTCAAGTTTGAGTCTCCTTACCTTACCTATATAAAAAAAAAAGTTCATTATTTGCTTCTAATTGATTTATATTACAAGAAATGTTTTGTCTAGTAAAGTATCACTACAGTAATAGTTCTATAGTAGCCGTTTCTCTTACATGATCATAGGATTGATTGAATTAAGAATTTATTTCTCAGTATTGCTCTTCAGTCTTCACTGGACGAACGCTCAGTGCTTACACATTCTTTTACTTTTCTTAGCTTCTTGGCACACCCACTGAATCAGATATTGGGTTCATTCGGAGCAAAGATGCAAGAAGCTATATCTGTCAACTACCCCAACATCCTCGGAAGCAGTTAGCAAAGGTTTTCCCACATGTCCATCCATTAGCTGTTGATCTTGTTGATAAAATGTTGACATTTGATCCTGCTAAAAGAATTACAGGTAATTTTCCTTTCCTGTCAGCTAGTTTGACATGAAATAGAAATTGATTTGATATTAATTATTCAATGTTTATATTAAATTACATGAACTACTTTCAGTAGGCACCATTAAAATGATATTGACGCTTCACTAATGAGCCTTTATTTATTTGTTTGTTAGACTGATCTAAATTTTTGATGTGTTTTCTGCTTATATTTTTTCTTCGTTAGTTTGTATCTTTATATACCTAGCAAACAGTGAACAGTTGTACTTAGTTTAACATGTTAGAAGGTCAAGGCTCCGACCTTCTATTAATTGGGTTGAGGATGACAAGTACAAGTGATGCTCAGAACAAATTTCTAAGCATCAAGTGCTTAAGTGCCTGGAGAATTGAGTTGCTGAAATTAGCTTCTTTTAGTGGATCTTCCTTCAGAACTTATACAGGTGTCAAGTGCATGTTAGTGTGAGTTGGCCAAGGCAACACCCTAGGATGTGTCTCAGTTTCCACTATCAACAGGCTTACACGACCAACATGGTTTGTTAGTTATGAGTCGAATTGGTTTCACCCTGAGTAGTAGTCCTAACAACATCCCTTCCCCTTCCCCCTAGCAAAAACAAAGGCAAAATGGAGAAGTTTGAATGTTTAAACGCATCTCTATGGTTGCCATGCCATTAATTTTGAAAACTTTCTCTCTTTCTTGAGTGAAACTAAATTTTCAGAATTGTTTCATGGATCAATTTTTCTATGAACAACAACTGCACTTGAATTTGGATCCAATTTCTTGAAATCAGCTTGATGATTAATATAGGTACACCTTGATTTGGTTTCAATTCAATTATTTACAGTCCCATAATACCTCTTGGGATGGGGAATGTTCTACCCCAAAGCCCACTAAATTTAAAAAATCATCCTCACTAAGGCAGATCTTTACTTGGTCTCTTGTTCAGGGCATCCAAGTTGGGGTCTTTTATGAGGAGTGCATGTCTTATAACTTCTGTTTCATTGAAATAAATAGATTATGTTCAGTTATGAACCTCTACCTCTGTGATGTACGTGTAATGTTTACAGCTACTTCTCTTTTCAATCAATATTATGAGGCCTGTTTTGTAACTTTTGCATCTCTGGATATCTTTAGCTAATTGTTCATTTGTGAACAATGTTTGGTAAGGATAGGGTTCATAGGCATCTCTGGATATCTTTGGCTAATTGTTGATTTATGAACATCATTTGGTAAGAATAGCATTCATAGTCTGTTATTGACCATTTGTTAATAAGACTTGGTGCTTCTTTAGTGGATTTACCAAATAATATTAACTTATTAGTTTTGGTTGGAGGGATGAGTTAGGAGGAACTATGAAATGATGATATCAAAGTGATTCTGCCTTGTAATGTGAAAAAGCATCCTAGAAAGCATGTTAGTTAAGACAATAAACCATGTGAAAGTGGTTGATCTCCTTGACAATGTCAACACAATGAAGTAGATGAGGAATAGTTTTCTTGGTCAAGTTAAAAACTTATATATGTATGTGGAAGTCTTCACTCGATGTGCAGAAACATAGCCTCTATTTGGCGGTTGATACACAAGTTGCAATCAGCTACTTGTCACTGATGTTTAAATTAACAAAACAAAAGGTGGCTGATCTCCTTGACAATGTCAACACAATGAAGTAGATGAGGAACAGTTTTCTTGGTCAAGTTAAAAACTTATATATGTATGTGGAAGTCTTCACTCAATGTGCAGAAACATAGCCTATATTTGGCGGTTGATACACAAGTTGCAATCAGTTACTTGTCACTGATGTTTAAATTAGCAAAACAAAAGGTACCTTCCACAGCAGTTATCAATCAGAGTGTGAACCCTGATTCAGATATTCAAACAGAGAAGTTACAGGTGTCATAATATGAAAATGCGAAAAGCACTGTGCAAATTAATAATTTGGACTTGTTCGCTTAGGGCAACATAATCGGTTTTCAAAATTTTTAGGAAGCCCTATTTTTTTTAGATATACTTTGTCATTATATATGTGTTGACTAAATTAGTTACAATCAGTATGAAAATTCATTATAACACTGTCATAAGGTCTATATAACACTTTTACATGTGGATTCAAATGTTCAATTGCATTTCAAAAGTTTTACACATCACATTTGTGACTTTATTTTTGATTTTTAACCTTAGTTTTCTTATTTTTAAATGCAAAAAACATTTTATGGCTGCAGTTGAGGAAGCATTAGCCCATCCTTACCTTGCAAGATTACATGACGCAGCTGATGAACCAGTCTGCCTAGAGCCATTCTCCTTTGATTTTGAACAAGCCTTGGGCGAAGAGCAGATAAAGGATATGATTTACCAGGAGGCCTTAGCACTCAATCCGGAGTATGCATAATGCAAAAAACAAAATCCATGTCAGCTTCTCTATATAACAAGTCTGTAAGTCCAGTTCTGCTCAGATGAGAAGATCACTGCAATTGAAATATTGCAACCAGTAGAGCAAACTCCTTTTCAACAATCAAATTTATAATGTACTGATCAAATAGCTAAGATCATCCTCTCAATCGGATTCGATCTGGTATTATTTAATTGTGTGGTGTATGGATCTTGGATTTTGTCATAGAAGGGAAGAGATTTGTGAAAAAAAAATACAGCTTTTATCTCATTCACTTTTCGCTTCTCAAATCCAAGATCTATGCACAACCTTGGTGTCTCTGTTGATTGTCACTTTTTGCTTCTCCAATCAGTTGTATTTGTTTTTATTGTGTCTGAAATTAGATTTTTCTACTGCAATTTTATTGTACAGCGGCTTGGATTGATTGTAAAGAAGATGTATAACTTGTGTTGAAAATATATGAATGAGAATTACCATTTGTTGTTCTTTATATTTGGTCCTGTTAACAGTTATGCTAAATTAAGTACATAAATTCCATACCTATGTAAAGAGGACTGAAAGAAATACCAGTATGGAGATTGATGACTAAAAAATCAAGTATGTTAAAACACTTTTGGTTTGTAGAAGACTTCTTTTATTTCAATTAGCTGAAAAAACCTTATAATTTGTTGTTGTAGTTGTTATTTTGTTTTTTTTGGGTGTGTTTCCCCACTTGCTGCTGAGACCATAAACCTTGCTTATATACAAAAGATATATATGTTTATATATATATATATATATTTATATACCTCTTTAAAATATACGTAGCAATATCTACAATCGTATCCACCCAGGTTGCCTTCACCACTAGCAAACAATCTGCACCTAACCTCTTCGATTATTATTGTTGACCAAAACACAGATGAGGCCCCTTCTCAAAATTTTAAATTTAAGGAAGTATGCATATGCCAACTTGCCATTTTTTTTTTTCCAATTAAAAGTCTAATGTTGTCTGTATAGTCTATTATAAATTACTTTGTTCACATGTATCGTTTTTTATTATGTATAATAATAATGTTATTAGCTAGTTGTGTGTAATTTATTGGCACCAACTATATTCACTTGTTTAGTCGTAGCAGCCTTCTAATTGTCTCTCATAGTTTATCTAAGATATGTTAAACTTTAGTATAAAAATATAATTTGAGAAGCAACTTTTCTTTTAAGGAATGTAGTTTAAAATATTCTACCCACCTAAGTACATGGACATAAACTATAAACAAATTTTGTGTGCAGAAATCTCATACAGAATGGTATGGTCTTTTATGGTTCTTTTGTTTGAAACTGAAACAATTTCAAATGTACTATTAGCATATCATTCTGAATGGATTTTCAATCTGAAAATTTTGTTTGTGTACCGTTTTCTTTTATCTTGTATGATGTGATTATCACTCTTCTTTTGCATGTTGTTGCTGATCTGCACTTACAGTATGATTATCAGAATCTTGATCCAAATTGTAGAATCTTGAGATCCTTCGATTCTAGTTGGGATAAATGATCCGGATCGCATTAAGATCTTAAATTTAGTAGGATCTTAAAATAACTACGATGCTAGTCATAAAATCATATAGAATTACAATCATATAGAATTACGTACGATTCCGATCCTATTAAAAAAATTTCTTATTATTTATTTCTTATATATGTATGTATGTGTACATTTATACAAAAGATTTTACTATAAACTTTTTCTCCAACATCTTGTATAATTTATGTGTAACATAAAAGATGCATTATATTAAATTTATTATTTTTTTAATAATTTTAAAATTATATAAGATACATTATTATTATAAATAATTTTTTATTTTATTTTATATTAAAAATAAAATCTTACTGCTCTCGATTCAATTTTAATCCAATCTACAAGCCGCTCAACAATTCTATGTAAGATCTGGTTTTAACAACTTATACTTAACAGTAGAGCAATTATAGTCCATCAATCACCTTAGATGTTTGGCACTTTAGTCAAAAATTACATTTACCAATCAGTTGTTTAAGATATTTGTGTTGGATCCAACGACTCAATGTCGCTGGCCTACCCATATTTGACTTTGTTGGTTGCTTGACACAGACCTTTTTACCTCACCCAAAAAAATAATTTAAAATTCACCCAAGACAGACCTTTACAGCGATGGAATGTCAGCACCAAAATTCATGATCGTTTGGACAATTATATAAACAGTATCAGATGAGAGTTCATCCTTCAAAGAGAAGAGAGGTTCAACATGTATATGTAGAACTGGCCTTTTGAGGCATAAAGGCCACCGTGCTAAAACTTACAACTGTTGTGTTGCACCATGGTTGCCGGCTCAATCCCCAGTGATGGAGAAGCACAGCTGCCAACTTCCAACCGCAAGCAAGGCGGTTGGATCACAATTCCATTCATCATAGGTCTCTCTCTCTCTCTCTCTCTCAGTCATATGCTTGCATGCACAACTATATACATATCAAAAATGTTAGAGATCCAAAAGTTTAACCAAAATTTTTATCAAAAGTCTCACGTCACATGAATGTGTGACCGACATGGGACGCACACGGTATGGGCCTCACACCCATGTGAGACATTTAGTAAAAATTTTGATAGAACTTTTGGTGTCTCTAGCATTATTTTATATATATAGGGTAAATTATGCAAATGGTTCCTGTTTACACAATGTGTCAATTTGGTCCCTATTGTTTTAATTTGCTTGATTTTATCCGTTAATTTAACAGATTGTGTTATTTTAATCCAATAAATAATGATTGTTAAGTTTGGTGAACGGAAAGTGTACACAATGTGTCAATTTGGTCCATGTAATTTACACAATGTATCAATTTGGTCCCTATTATTTTAATTTACTTGATTTTAACAATGACCAAATTGACACATTGTGTAAACTATAGAAACCAAATTAATAGTATATAGTTTGACTTTCCGTTCACCAAACTTAACAACCGTTATTTATCGGATTAAAATGACACAATCCGTTAAATTAAGGGGCAAAATTAAACAAATTGAAACAACATAAACCAAATTAACACATTGTGTAAACTACATGAACTATTTGTATAATTTACTCATATATATATATATATATATATGTTACATCAATCTAAAATGTGATCCACCTATTCAAATCTGCAGCAGCGTGACACTGGCATCCCAAGGATGGGTGAACAACCTTATTGTATTTTTGATTGGGCAGTTCAATGTCAAAAGCATTAATGCTACCCAAATTTTTAACGTCATTAATGGCTGCGTTACTATGTTTCCCATCCTCGGAGCAATCGTTGCTGACTCCTTTCTGGGCTCGTTCTTTGTCATCTGGATTTCTTCTCTCATCTCTGTACTGGTAATTTTTACTTCTACGGATTTAGAGAGCTTTTCATTCATTACCCGAAATTGAAGTGTCTGGTGTGAATTCATTATAAATATAAACCTCTCAATGTAAGTGGTAGAGGTGTTGGGGGAATATGTATACATCTTTGACTAGTAACTTGGGTGTGAATTTTTTATTTTTATTATAAATTATTAATATCTCTCCTAGTAAGCATATAGCCATATATATTTGACTCCGAATCTCCTCATCTCTTGTGAATTTTTTTATGTTTTATTTCTGTGTGCAAGTAGTAACATTTAACAAAAGTGAATAAAGCCTAGGGAGCATACTATAATCCATGTTTATACGGACACGAAGTTCACTACGATCAACTCTTTTATCCCCATTGAAATGTATTCAGTACTTGATTATTGCAAGGTGAAGTATCACATGTCTTTTTCTTTTTCTTTTTTTTAATCTTACGATTTATTTTTACCCTATAATTTCAGGGCATCATTCTTTTAATCCTAAGTGCGACACTCGACTCTCTGAGGCCTCCACCATGTGGAAATGGATCAAATTTGTGTATCACCCCATCAAAACTCCAATTTGCAGTTTTATATCTGGGTATTACTCTTGCAACTATCGGCGCCGCAGGTACACGGTTCACCCTAGGAGCAATGGGCGCCGATCAATTCGACAACCCCAAGCATCAAGGAAGCTACTTCAACTGGTTCATCTTCACCCTGTACATGGCATCCATAATAAGCAGCACAGCAATTATCTACGTTGAAGACAGTGTAAGTTTTGGATTGGGGTTCGGCCTATGTGCTGCAGCTAATGTAATTGGCTTAGTCATTTTTGTATTGGGAAAACGATTCTACCGCCATGTTAAGCCACAAGGGAGCCCATTCACAAGCTTAGCTCGTGTTTTTGTTGCGGCTATTCGGAAGAGGAAAATCTTGCTTTCACAAAGAAGTGAAGATTATTACAACAAAATACATGATGGAGTGACAATGATGGCTGTGACAACACCTACAAAAACGTTCAAGTAAGAGTTTCAGTTGCTTCACAATTCCAAATTTCTTATTAGTACACATTACAGTCACATTGGTAATTTTATACTTTGTATCAACTTTTTTTGAGTAAATTAAATTCTGTCTGCTCATCAAAACAAAATGTATTAATTCTTCAATTATACAGCTTTCTGAACCGCGCAGCTCTGAAAACTGAAGGGGACATCAGAGCAGATGGCTCGATTGCAAAGTTGTGGAATCTGTGCACAGTACAACAAGTAGAAGACCTCAAAGCTCTAATCAAAATTGCCCCATTATGGTCATCCGGTATATTCTTAAGCACACCACTGGCCATCCAATACAGCTTAGCAACCCTTCAAGCTCTCACCATGGACCGCCACCTCGGACCTCATTTCAAAATCCCACCTGGGTCCATGGCAGTCTTCATAATGATCGCTACTTGTATCACCATCGTCCTGCTAGACCGGTTCCTATATGCTGCCTGGCAGAAGCTCACAAGTCGATTCCCAACACCGCTACAGCGAGTAGGGGTAGGGCACGTGCTATGCGTGCTCAGTATGGCCTTGTCAGCCATAGTAGAGTCAAAGCGGCTCAAAATAGCTCGGTCCCATAACCTCCAAGACCAAAGTGTTTTGATCGTGCCAATGTCCGCCTTCTGGCTAGTACCACAGTTAGCCCTAGCTGGTATCGGAGAAGCATTTCATTTTCCGGGAAACACCGCATTGTTTTACCAGGAATTTCCGATGTCCCTAAAAAGTACGTCGACGGCGATGGTGGCGATGTTCGTTGGTATTGCATATTATGTGAGCACGGCCTTGGTAAGTGGCGTTCAGAGGACCACCGGATGGTTGCCGAATAATATAAATCATGGGAGGATGGACAATATGTACTGGCTGTTATTTGTGATTGGTGTTGTCAATTTTGGATATTTTGTAGTGTGTGCTTGGTTGTACAAATATCAGGGTGTTGCAAAGGTGGTAGATGAGAATCCTAGTTCTGATGATAAGTAATGTATAGAAAAAGCATTTAAATGCTTTTGATGTATTTGCTAGTGTATCTCTCTCATATATGAGGTTGATACAT